AAAAAAGAGAGAGAGAGAGAATACATCTACTTATATTCTGATGTTCTGCTGACATCTGCCTATCTCCAGGTCTTGCATACTAGCCTCACTTCCCTTCCGTTATCACAGGACAAGTCTTGTTCTTCATAGAATCATGTATCTTGAGGTCAGATAATGCAACCTTCTATTTTACAAATAGAGCCCAGAGAGGTAGGAAATTTGCACAGTCAGTCAGCCAACAGCCAGAAGCATGATTCATGATGCTGGTCAAGTGACCATCTCCTCTTTTTAACAGTGCTTTCAGTTCTTTGAAGGTCTAAAAACAGTTATCACCTCTTCTTAATCTTTACTTGTGAATATTATAATCTTTCTTAAAACTTCTCTAATATCTTAGAGTTTTTTGGTTCAGGAATCAAACTCAGGGCCTTGTGCTTACTAGGCAGGCTCGGTGGCATTGAGCTATATTCCCTGCTATTCTTCAAAATTAAAAAAAAAAATTGATGAATATGTACAGTGTAAAAAGTTAACTTTAAAATGACTGATTTTATGCAACAGTAAAACTTTATACTAGTAAGTTTCAGTATTCTCCACACTGCCAAAAAAGTGTAAGATGCCGGGGATTTAGCTCAGTTGTTCAGTGGCCTGCCTTGCAAGCGCAAGGACCCGAGTTCAATCCCTGGTTCCAAAAAAAAAAAAAAAAAAAAAAAAAAAAAAAGTGTAAGATGTCCAAAGACCTTACCAATCATTACTGGCGTGCCTTCACTCTGGAAATGATTAGCCAGTTCCCGTCCTTGAGAGGCCATTTCTAAGCCTTGGCTAGAAAGAAAACATTTTCATTAGAGGAACTATTCCCAACACTAAGATCAAATAATAAGTTTGGGGAGCCAATGTTTTCTACCTTTTTGTTTTATTTTTTGGTTTGTTATTGCAAAAAACAATGTAAGTCTAAACAATATACATTTAGGGAACTCATATAAAGAATTTAAAGCAATATGAATTCTAAATAGTTAAGGCCACTTTAGAAACTCCCATTTGAGCTATTCCTCTTCTAGGTATCCTTCCCAGAGAGTTAAAACGTCATATTACAGTGATACATTCATACCCATGTTTAGAGGAGCACAATTCATAATAGCTAAATCTTGGAAGTAGCCTATATGTTTATCAACAGATGGATGAATAAAGAAGATGTGGTATTTAAACACAAAAGAGTACTATTCTGTGATCAAGAAGGACAAACTTTAGTCACTTGTAGGAAAATGGATGTACCTTGAGACCATGATGTTAGTGAAATAATCAGACACACAAGCTTAAATATGTCATGGTTTCTCTTTTTTGAGACACCCAAATTACAAATAAAGACCAAAATAAAAGATAATAAGAAGTATGGAGATAGATATTTGTCAAATGGGAAGGGGACTAAGAAATGGAGGGAAAGGGGAGGCAGGAGAGAAGGGGATGAAAAAAAGAACTAAGATACATTCTGTACATGCACCAACTCATTAGGAATGTAAATATTATGTACTGCAAACATGTACTAGTAAAAAGTAAAAACAAAACAAAAAATATTTAAGGTCACTAGTTGCACTAGGAAAGAAGCAAAAAAATCTTGATTTTTCTGCTTCTTGAATGACAGAAAGAATATTCTAGCATTTTAATATGAGAATGAAACTGGTCATCTTGATGCCCAGAGGCTTTTATAGGTAGATTTAATTACCAAAAAAAAATTAGTTTGAAGTCTGAGACTCTTGTCTTCTTGCTCTTGGGATTTCTGAGTTTGTATTTTCTCATTTTAAATTAGTACCTGCCCTATACTCACAACAAGAGGACATTCTACAACTAAAATAGAATGAAGTTAATCTGATAACTGCAAAAATGTTTTCAAGTGAGACATTTTATTTTAGGAAGTATTTCAATGTACTATGCAATTTTTAATTTTGAGAAGAGGAAGACAGACTGGTAAGGGGAGGCGCAGATGCTCTTCAATTTATAATAAGTTTATATCCCAGTAAATCCAACCACCTGAGCATTGTAACTTAGCAACACTGTATTTCCTCTCGTGACTGAGTGGTTATTGGGAGCTGAGATTTGCTGCCGCCCCACACCACCAGACTATTGTACTGTCACTTGACCAAGAAAATATCAAAATTCAAAATGTTTTGTGGAGTCTACTGAATGCATATTGCTTTTGCACCTTTGTGAAACCAAAGAGCCGTTAAGTCAAACCAACATATAAATTGGTGACTGGCTTTCTTTTTGGCAGTGCTAGATGGTGCTAAAACTTTAGTATCTTGGTTTAACAGAGTATGTATAATGTTTTAATGTCTCAAATATTTTCATTTTTAAAAAATATTCTTTGCTACTTAATCTGTCATTTTTTATCACTGATTTCCACAATCACTCCAAATTCCAATTGTGAAATCAGACATTAAAGTACTTGGAGAGCAATTCTTGGATGTTGCCATAGTTATCTATAGAAGATATGTTTTAAAACATAAACGTACAGTAAAGAGTAAGCTAGTTATGGTCAGACAAAGTGATATTCATAATTTTATATTTTCTCATTTTAATATTTGAATTGTAGAAAAGATAAAATTATTATTTTTTTATTTTTTTGTTACCAGGGTCAAGCTCAGGACCTTGCGAGACAGGCAGCAGAACCAGTGAGCTAGATCCCTGGCCCAAGATAAAATAATTATTTGGATACACTGTTGGTTTATTAACCTCTAAAGAAGAAAAACAGCAGGAGGTAAACATCAGGTCAATCATAGATCAACATACGATTTTCCCCTTGCAAGATTTTTAATACTTGAGCCTAAAAAAACCAAAAAAAAACTAGATATTTTCCCTGGTGGTCTAGAGCTTTATTAAAAACAAACAAGTAAACAAATAAAAAAAATCAAGCAAAAAAAACTCTGAAGAAATTTCTATATATAATCTCCACTAAACAATGTATTTCTAAGTATTCTTGTCTACACAAAAATTAGGCATCGGCAATGCATATACATATCATTGTTTTTTAACTCAGAATCTTCTAAAAAATAACTGCCTCAAAATTTAGCATAAGAAAATGAAATTCAGAGCAATGAGAAATGAATAAGAGGAGAATAAATGAGGGGAAAAAAGATTCCATTTTTCCATTATTTTAGTAAAAATGACAAACTTACTCTGGAATAAATTACTTTTTTAAGGTGTCCCTTACCTGACAAAGAGTATTTTTGAAGTTATACCAATCAATTGGTTTAGTACCAGCTGTACTTCAATAGATCCAATCCATTGCCGTGAGCCGACAAATGTTGCTGGTTTGTCACCGGCATCAACAAGAGCCTTTATATATTTAAAAAATGTTAAAAAATCCATATACCAGACAGCTATTAAAAATTACATTTAGGACATTTTTCCTAATTACCAGTACAAAAATATTTTTTTCTTCAAGTCTACAAGTAAGTCTACACCTGAGGTGATAATAATTAATGGTATATTAACTGCTAGTGGAATGTACAATTGATTTTAATTTGAAATGGCATGTTCTGTACCTGCTGAATTTCTCTGTGTGTTGGAATGGGTCTCTCTGTGTATCCCTGATGTCTGAACCAAGAGCAGATAGTTTGCAGCGATCGGTAAGCACAGCCCCAGCCATTGTCATCTATCCGATCCTGCATGTAATGATGATAACCATATATGCCCTGGACCACATGAATCTGTATGAAAATAAGAAATATAGTAAACTATTAATTTAATACAGAAGTGCACAGACTATACATATACTTGAAATGATGTTTGTTGTTCTGAGAGCTAGACTATTACTTTAGATCCTTTTAAACACGCCTCTAAAGAACTATGGTTCAACACTGTATCCTCTTGTTTTTTGGTTGTTTTTTTGTTTTGTTTTGTTTTTGTAACAGAGATTGAATTCAGGACTTTGCACTTGTGAGGCAGGTGGTGGAACCACTGAGCTAATAAAGCCCTAGTTCTCCTCTTGGTTTTTAAAGTAAAAGTCCAAAGTCTTCACCAATAGCCCCAAAAGACCCTATTCCAGCCTCAACTTCATCTCTTACACTTTTCCCTGTTTCTTACTCTGATATAGGTTCAAATATTCCAGGGGCAATCTGACTTAGGGCCTTACGGTTCTCCTGGTTGGGAACACTTTTCCCCCCAAATAATTTTATGGCTTGTACCCTTCCACATTCAGTTCTCTGTTCAATTGTTAGACACGTTCTCTGACCATAACCTGAAAATGGCATGCATGGTTTTTCACCACCTACTCTCTGCTCTGGTTGTCATATTTATTCTGCTCCCCCTTTAAAATTTTTTCAAAGCACTTATCACTATTTGACATATAACTTACTATCATTTAAAAACTATCCACCTGTCCATATCAACATGAAAGCTCAATGAGAGCATAAGTATCTTATTTAATTCTGGGCCCAAGCTTCTACAAGTGGCCCACAGTTGCTATGTTGAATAAATGATGGCTGAATGGATGAAAGAAGGAATAAAGTAACATAAACAACTTAATGATAGTTCACATAATGGGATACAGGCAACATGTTTGGGCAGTTTTGTAAATCTGTAATTGATTACAGCCCAGGGGTATTATTTAATGACATTAATATAAAGATTGACATAATTCTTACTTGTAGTATATTGCTAAGGATGTATGTCTTTTTTGAAAGACCACTATTGTTTTTTAAAGACTAGATGAGAAGAGTTGTGAGTAAAGATAGAACTCTCAGAAGACAATTAAAGAATATATATTCTGCTCAAGCATAAAGAGAATTTATAATAACATTCTGGTAGGCTGAAAAATGGCTATCCCCAAAAAGATATCTGTATCCAAATCCCTGGACTGAATGAATGGAAACTTCTGTGACCAAAAAAAAAAAAAAAAAGCAATTGTAGATAAGATTGTAAAGGATATTTATTTATTGATTGATTGATTGGTACTGGGGATCAAACTCAGGACCTTGCGCTTATGAGGCAGGTGGCAGAACCACTGAGATAAATCCTGGACCAAGTTAAGAATCTTTGTATGGGCAGGTTATCCTGTACTGTCCAAGGTAGGTCCTAAATCCAATCAGAAGTATTTTTATAAAACAGAGGCAGTGGGATGTTTGACATAGAAGAGAAGGCCAGTAACCATAGAGACACAGGTTACAATGATGGAGCATAAACCATGGAAGATTGGCAACTACCTGAAACTTAAGAGATAAAGAAGGGATTTTTCTCCAACAGTCTATAGAAGGAGTTTGGCCCTACTGGTGTTTCATTTCAACTCAGTGATGCTAATTTTGGACTTCTAGTCCCCAAACTGTAACAGAACACATTTCTGTAGCTTGAAATCACCAAGTCTGTGGTTGTTACGGCAATCTATAGGGAAGGTATACAAGACCTAATAAGTCAGTAGCACTTAGAAATTGTTTCTATGAGTAGAAAAAAGAGTTAAAAAACAGTAGGAAAAGGAAAAAAAAAAGAATTCTGATATATTTGACAGTTAAACATTTTCTAAATACATAGATTAAGCAAAAACTGTAATAGAAATATAAAAATACTTATAAATGAACAAAATTAGAATATAATTAAAACTGTACATTACAGTAAAAGCAGTGCTTTAAAGTTACAAGTAAAACCTGATATTATAAAATAAGAAAGATTAACAACAATGTAAATGTCCAATTAAGAAGTAAGAAGAAACATAGAAAGTATATCAAAGAAAGTAAAGGGAGAGAAGAAGGTAAAAAGCCAAAAGCTAATATAAGGAAATACAAAAGTTATAATAGAGTGGAGTCAACAAAGCCAAGTTTAAAGAAAAAAAGAGAAGGCATAAAAATGATATGCAGAGTTAAAAAGAAAATACGATAAGAGATATTAAAATGTAGGAAAATATAACTTATAAAAATGGAAATGTCCTATATCCGGGATGGTGAAACTATGGCGTGCACGCCACAGTGAGCACAGAGCCTTCCCTGTGATGACATTATAAGTTGTGTGAGTTGTTTTTTTCTAAACCTCAGTATTCAGGTTTAATTGCAGTGTTGGCACTTTGCCATAACTAAGTGGACTTTGGGCTGTAGTTTGATATTCAGTCTCTAAAAGATTTGCCATCACTGTCCTATAGTTCTTAAAAAAACTATATCTGTTATTAAAAATCTCCCCACAAGGATAATGCTATCTAAGTCTAGGTTGTTTTATAGGCAAGCTTTATCAAATAATCAAAGAAAGACCATGCTAATCTTATATAAATACTTTCAGAAAATTAAAACACAAGGAATATTTCCCAACTCATTCAATGAGCCAGTATATTGCAGATACAAAAAAATCAAATAAAAACAGTATGAGAAAAAAATTGTAAGTCAATGTCAACGAGAAAGATTAAAACATCTTAGCAAAATAGTACCAAATGAAAATCCACCACTGAATAAAAAATAATAATACTGAATATAATGAAGCTTAGCTTTTCTCATGAATGTAAATCTATTTATTCTTGGGAGACGTGCTAAAATAGCATGACCTTATAATTTTCTCTAAAATGGTTTAGGGAAAAAGAAAAATGAAGAAACCATGGCAAAATCTCTATTGAGTGTATATACTAGAACACTGGTACAAGAGCATTCAGAAGATTGTCTAAATAGCAAGAAATCTGGGGAAAAAAATAACATGAATAGGAAAGCAAGCTGTAGAAGACTACATATAGAATGGCGTAATTTTTACAAAATTTTAAAAAATAAACATTGCTGAAGTAATACAAACATATATGGCAAAGCTATTAAAAAAGAAGGGAATGATGAACACAAAACTCAGTACAGTGGTCCCTTACTATATTACACGGGAAGACTGTTTCAGGACCCCTGAAAATATAGGATCCCTGGATGCTCAAGCCAAATGGTACAGTACTTGTATACAAGACATGTGTGTCATCCTATGTACTTTAAGTCGTTTCTAGAATACTTACAATACTTAATACAATTTAAATGCTATATAGTTGGTTATAATATTATATTGTTTAGGAAACAATGATGAGAAAAAAGTCTGTGTATGTTCAGTACAGAAACAATTTTTTTGTGAATATTTTTCACCTAACAGATAAGGAGGGCTGACTGCAAGATTTCCTCTTGGGACTGTGTTGTGAAGGCAGACAAATGGGGAAGGAAGGAGCACATAGCCTGAGTGACAATTCTCTATAGCCCCTAATCCTGCTACCTTGTTATGCAGTACAATCAGTAAATATGTTATGTTAGATAATAAATACTTTAAAATATATCAATTTATAAGTATTCCTTACATCTTTGCAATACAGATAAAGAATGCATTTTATTATAAAAAATCATCATTCCCTTAGTATCTTATGAATGTCCAGGTCCTTTTAAAGGAACTATTAAGAATTTAAAAAATAAATCTAGAGTTGTATTATTTGTTAGAGATTATTAAGTTTTGTACATTCCTAATTTATGGTTCTGAAAGTGACAGAGCAATATTTTAACCAGGAACATAAGTCTCTCGAGATTTCCTCTTACATGCTTAAACTAAGTGAGAACATTTAATACCCATGAAATGCTGACTGTTCATGTGTATAAGGTGCCCAGGCAAGAGAACTTTTTAGGAGAGCTGCCCTGACCGTGGCTCTTGCAAATACAGCTGCTGCTGCTGCATCTGATGGCCAAGATTGGGTCCCAATAGTGGGACCCCAATTCAAGGGTAGGTATAGCATCATAGATTCTATTCTGATTTTTAAGGTATTTTTTAAAAAGCCCTGGAAACTCAGAAGGTACTGAATATGAAAAGATGGTCAATCAAATTTTCTTTGTCTTGGGAATCTGAACTGCAAAGTGCAGAATGAGCCTGGAAGGAACAGGGAATGAAGCAGAAATGAGCCATATACTGAGCAGCTAAGAGGAAGAACAGAAAGTCATACACAAGCTCATATAGTAAGGGCACAGGATGTAGGAAGCCAAGAAAAGAGAGGTCAGTCAAGATCAAAAGGACACACACAGAAGTCAGGTGTGGTGGCACATACCAGTAATCTCAACACTGTGGGAGGCTGAGACAAGAGTATTTCAAGTTCAAGCCCAGTTTGGGGAACTTAGTGACTTAAAAAATTAAGAAGGGAAGTAGTGGAAAGGCAGTGGGTTCAATCCCCAGTACTCCCCTGAAAAGGAATATACATAGGAAGAGACAGAAATATTACCAAGGTGTCCATGTAGGCCTTGGGAGAAAATGAGACAGCAGCCATTAACAAGATTGCTTTTTCTAAGAGGCACAGCTGTACTAGCGCTATTTCTGAATACTTATGAGATCCTTTCTTAGTGGTCCACCTGTACTATATCCTTAATTTAACTCCTTCTCACTCTTTGCCAATCCACTCTTCTCTGAGCTATGTTTAATGAGAATCTATCCTTTGCAACAAGGTACATGCAGCACAGAAAATGTCTACTAACTAGCAACCTACTAGCTGATTTATCCTATAGTGTGGTTTGGATAGACTACGCCTTTACTCAGCATTACTTCTCAGGTTCACAATGGAAAAAAATGGGACAAGCCTTTAAAGAAGTTGTGTGACAGAATTTTAGCAGGAGAAATGTGGCATAAACTATTCCTAATCTTTTAAGATCACTGATAATTACTGCTATTTTAAATGACTGTTAAAAAAGAGATCGATAATAACTTATTTTTTAGGAATGACATAATTTATAAATTAATCCTTTAAAACTTCTCTTGGGTACCAACAACAGCAAACTAGCAATTGACTCTCACAAACAATTGGTTAAACTCACCATACCAGCTTCCATGTTAGGTGGATTAAGATAAGTATGAGGATTTCTAATGTAACCATCTTTGTATGGTTCATCTGGAAAGTGGTAAGCATTAGATCTTTTGAAATAAGGTCTGTCATGAGGCAGATTGAAGACATCATGTAACTCCTAGATGAAACCAGAATAGACAAAACAGTTAATGATTCAATTATTAGTCAATGAATAAACTGTTATAAAACTTCTATATAAGTTTTCATACATTTGTGATTTAATTCAGTAAAGTCAGAGAATGAAACTTAAACTAAAACCAAATAAGATCTTTGTTTACATATATGCATGGACAGAAATTGGAAGGGAACACAGGAAAATGAAAATAACTTGTTACCGTGAGATAACTGGGATTATTTTAAATTATTTAATATAATACAGTCTGTTAAAATATATCTAAAGACTGGTTTTGAAACAGCCTTATAATTAAGAACCAATAATTAACAATGACATAATTATATCAAATACTTTTTAAAAAATCATGTTTAGAGTATTTTACAAACGTAAGGGATAGTGATTACATTACAGAGTAGAAGTTGATGGTATAAAGCTGACCAAAATGGCAAGAAAATTAAAATGTGCATATGTTATGATTTTTCCCAACTGTATAAAAACAAGTAATATTTACTTTTAAAAGTATGGCACACTTCTATATACTGTCGTGGTTTGAATAGGTCAGCTTGTCTAGTTGTTTTGGCATTATCAATTCATATTGCACTTACAGAGAGGTACAGAGCGTTAGAGACAAAGGTGAAGAAGATCCTCCATGCTATAATTTGATGAATGTCAGGCAACGTCAGATATTTAGAATATGTACTTCAAAAAATCCTGTCATCTTGCCAATAATCTCATTTCTTTAAATGATGATCATGTGTTTTTCAAAATTCTTCTAGTGAATACCTAATAAGCTGGGTGTGGTGGTGCACACCTGTAGTCCCAGTGCTCTGAAAGGTTAATCACAGTTAGTGATTCTCACAGGAGAATCACAAGTTTACTACCAGCCTGGACAATTTAATGAGGCCCTTGCTCAAAATAAAAACTGAAAAAGGGATGGAGGTGTGGCTCAGTGTAAAGGCTGTATGTTCAGTCTGCAGTACTGGAAAAGAAAATGTGGGGAGGAAAGGAGGAGGAGCCAAAAAAAAAAAAAAGCCAAAAAGTCCTAATGCCATGGGGTGATACCACAAATCATAATCAATTAAGGAATAAAAGTTAGAATTGGCAATCTGATTATTATTTATGGTACTGCCCTATCCTGGTAGGGTTATTTGGCTGTTTTTCCTCCTTTTTCACAAATCTAGGGATAACAAAAGGGAAAAGGAATTTGTTCACACACATCAACTACTCTAGGCATATAGGTATCTTTTCATTTCTGTATTTCATTATTGGAGGGCTGGGGATTTAGCTCAGTGGTGCTGATGCCTGCCTTGCAAGCACAAGGTTGATTTTGATCCCTGGTACCCCCCCAATATATATATATATATATAT